CGGTGACCAGCCAGCCGTGGGACGCGCAGTGCATATGATCCAGGAGGAGACGCGGCTCTGTGTTGGTGCCACACAGGCCTAGCTACCTCTCCTCTCACTCATCTCACTCACAAATGGAGGAAGAAGAAGATGAACACAGTGAACACAAGAAATTTTTCAGGCCGGCGCACGAACGCCCTAATCTTCTTGTCTTTTCAATGGCTACATGGTTTGGCAACTCCGTGCTTTACATCAGCGATCAGGAGGGGATTTATACCCAAGCTGCCTGCACACGACGCAGCCCACCCGCCCCACTACGTGGGCACGATCTGCATGCACGCCCGCTTGGTGCTCACGACGCGATCAACTCGCGCATGCACGGCCAGCTTCAACAGATCGCCACGACTATCTCCGCTACTCGCTAACTTCAACAGATCGCCACGACTATCTCCGCTACTCGCTAACTACTACAGCAACGCACGCCACTCACGCACGCACACGGAACACACTCACGCGTGGCTTATTCCTAACATTCTCCCCTCTAAGCCACGGCCTCGCTGTCCATCCAGACAGTCGTCGACTGCTGCAGGGAACCTTCTTCTTCGTTTCCGGCGACACACGCCGCAGCTTCTTTTCCCGGCGCACTGACGCCGCCGGCAACAACTACGACCGATTTCCTCAAGCACGAACTCGAGCCACACCTGTTACAACGCATACGGGGGGTTCTTATACCCTGGGGCGCGCCAGGGCACGTACCCCACGCCCCAGTCCACGCCGAGCGCCTGGTCCGGCCCGCTCTGTCCACTCCCGTGACATGCAAGCACACGTTCGGGTCACGCGAGCTCGCCTAGGACCAACTCCACGCTCCCCCGATCTCGCCAACAGAACGCACACACGCTGGACTCGTGTACGAACATGCCCGTGCACACCACACGCATGCACACACACGACCCGCCGTGGACCCGACGCGCCCAACGCGCCCGGTGCACGCCCATACACGCGCCTGGCGCGACAAGCTCGTCACCATGGTTGCTGCCGCCCGACGCCACCGTGTGCTTCCAGCACGAGCCGCCGCAGATGTGGTGCAACGCGCACACATCGCCGGCCGCTGTCGCGCACCGCCGCCGATGCAGCTATTGCCGCGCTGCGCCCCATCGAGCACCCCTCGCTGCCGCTGCCGAAACCCGCAGCTCTGTGCCCCGCCATGCCGTGTCTCCGTGCCTCGCGCCACTGCGCCTCCATGACCGCCACGCCGAGCTGCCGAGGCCTCTGCGCAACCACGCAGGTCCACCGCGACCACCGCTGCTCGTCGCGTGCATGGGATCACGCCGCACAACCGCAGACACGTCGCCTGTCGCAGTCGCCACACGCTCTCCGCGCGCCGCAGCCTTCATGTCCGCTGCGCGCTCCGCGGACGCTGCCGCGCGCCACGTCCGCCCCTCGAACTTGGCTTTGAATACCAAATGTTGGTGCCACCCAGGCCTAGCTACCTCTCCTCTCACTCATCTCACTCAGAAATGGAGGAAGAAGAAGATGGACACAGTGGACACAAGAAAGAAATTTTCCGGGCCAGCGCACGAACGCCCTAATCTTCTTGTCTTTTCAATGGCTACATGGTTTGGCAACTCCGTGCTTTACATCAGCGATCAGGAGGGGATTTATACCTAATCTGGCAGCCCACCCGCCCCACTACGTGGGCACGATCTGCATGCACGCCCGCTTGGTGCTCACGACGCGATCAACTCGCGCATGCACGGCCAGCTTCAACAGATCGCCACGACTATCTCCGCTATTCGCTAACTACTATAACAGCAACGCACGCCACTCACGCACGCACACGGAACACACTTACGCGTGGCTTATTCCTAACACTCTGGGCGCGCGCCGGCGCTAAGGGCATGGCCCTCATCTTGCCTGAGACGTAGGCTCGGACAGATCGGGCAGCACACCCCGCCGTGGTGGGCATCCCTGATGTCGAGGGGCGACCGGCTTGCCCTGTGCCGTCATGTTCTTTCGGCCATGCCCAACGCATCATGATTGCGATGGCCGTCAATCCGCCCATCCTAAAGCGCATCAATCGCTTGATACGAAACTTCCTCTGGTACGGCCGGAAGGACGCGAGTGGAGGCCACTGCAAGGTCAACTGGCGCCGGGTATGTAGACCAATCTCCCTCGGCGGCCTCGGGATCCCGGATCTCCAGCGCGTCGGCATCTCGCTACGCGCCCGGTGGATGTGGCTCCAAAGATCAGACGCCTCGCGCACGTGGCAGCACCTGCACATCCCCCGCTGCCCGGAGGTTCACGCCATCTTCAGGGCTTCAACCTCTTGGTCCGTTGGCAATGGCGAGTCCTGCTTGTTCTAGAAGGACCACTGGTTGGGCGGGAAAAGCATCTCCGAGATAGCGCCTCTGGTCTACTGCAGGGTGCCCAAACACCGGCGCAAGACACGCTCGGTACGCGACGGCCTACTCAACCGGGCGTGGATCGCCGACATCCACGGCGCCATGGGCGTGGCCATGACCGTGCAGTATGTCACGCTCTGGCGGCGCCTCCGGCACATGACCCTGACTGACGAGCAGGATCGGCTGTCGTGGCGATGGACTGACTCAGGGATCTACTCTGCCAGCTCCTGCTATCAAGCACTCTTTGCCGGCTCCATCACCGTCCCGCATTGGCGCATCACCTGGAGATCATGGGCTCCGCTCCGCATCAAGTTCTTCGTCTGGCTTGCCCTGATGGGTAGGTGTTGGACTGCCGACCGCCTGGCACGTCATGGCCTTCCCCACGAGCCTCGCTGCCTCCTATGCGACCAAGAGCCGGAATCCATGCAGCATCTCCTGACGGGCCGTTCCTTCTCCCGCCAAATCTGGCACGAGGTGCTCTCATGGTGCCGATGCACCACCGCGATCCGAGCACACGACGACGAGTTCGCCAGCTGGCTCTCTACGGCCATCTCCAACACCTCGGCTACTCTTCGCCGCGGCCTCGCCTCCATTGCCGTCCTCACCGCATGGCACCTATGGAAACACCGGAACGGCTGTCTCTTCGACGGTGACCAGCCATCTGTGGGACGCGTAGTGCATATGATCCAGGAGGAGACGCGGCTCTGGGCGCGCGCCGGCGCTAAGGGCATGGCCCTCATATTGCCTGAGACGTAGGCTAGGACAGCTCGGGCAGCACACCCCGCCGTCTGTGTGCCAAGGCTACCGATGCTTGCCATCATTGCGTACGAGCTAGTTAGCCTCTCCTTCATCTTGTAAGACTTCCATGTATCGCTACTCTATCTATCAATGCAAAGATAGGCAAGGCTTTTGCGTATTCGCGAAAAAAAAACCCCATGGTGGACACCCCTCTTCCCTCCTGTCTGCGGCCTTGCCCCTCTCCTCCACCAAGGCGGCTCCCTCTCTCCAGATCCACCAAGGACGGACAACATCCTCTAGGGCAGGTATGGCTGTGTGACCCGGAGAAATAAAAATTTGATGTGAATCGATGCTAGTTGGGTAATCTGGGTTTAATTTTGTGCTCTCAAATATACAGATTACCTGTTGCCTGCTGCCTACTGCCAAGTTCACATCCTGCTGATGCTCTGCTGCTTTTGGAGGTGAACCGTTCCCTGATTGATTGAAGGAATGACACCAATATGCATCTGGTACAACTCCTCTGCTGTTCGTTGTGCTGTAGAATGGTTTCTGTCTCGCGGCGAATTTCTTGTGCTGTAAAATGAACCACTTTCTCCATGTTGCCAGCCTACTTCACTGAGGATGCGATTTCCCTGAATCTTTTAAATTACTTGCAAGCCATGTAGCAAATATAGTGACAACTGCTATTGCACAATACTAGGATTTTACCTTTTTTACATTACACTACATTTATTTGATACTTGTTCCAAAGAAAATAGCTGCATTAAAAATAAAGCTTACTGGAAAGATTGATTGTTGATAATGTCTTCCTAGCTAGTAAAGATCCTCTGGACCTGCTGCTACAGTGCTATTGCACAACATTGGGATGGTTTTACTTTAAATTTGTTTTCTCATATGCTCTCCAGATTCACATCCTCATATGTACATATCTAGTACCTGCATTTCTTTTTTACTAAGGCAATTAATAGAAGGTGGATGGTTAATAAGGATTACCCTGCTGCTGCTTCTGCAAGCTGTTCTCTGAATGAACGGCACTGATGCTTTCTAGTCCGTGATTCTGATTATCTTTTGGACAATTGATTTATTTATCTGAGAATCAGATTTTGGGCAGGCTGCTTGCGCTCTAAATTCTAGTATCTGTTTCTGCACATGGAAAGTATATACTCTGTTAACAAGCAGCCTGACTTTACTACCTCAAGACAGGATATGCTTTCTAACCTGTGATTTCTGTTTATTTTATTGACAGATAGCTTTTTCCCCTATTGACAGATAGCTTATTTTATTGACAGATAGCTTTTTCCCCTATTGAGAATCAGACTTTAGACAGATTGCCTGTGCTCTCAAATGTGCATTAGTTTGTACCCCAAGTTTGTTTGTGCACATGGACGGTGTGTACTCTTTAACAAAAAGTCTGATTGTACTACCTAAAGACAGGATATACAAATTCTTAATTAATGAAGGAAGAAAGCTTTTTCACAAAGGAAAATATGTTTGTGATTATTCTAGTGTTATTAATCTGATCCGATGCACTTTGTTGTAGATATAAACAAATAAAATTGGATTGTTTTGCTTACAAAAGAGAGGAATAATAAAAATAAGAAAAAAATAAATGAAACTCTCTGCAACTTCAGGTCTACTGAAGCATCAAGCAATAATGTAATGCTGCCTCCATGTGTACAGTTTTGATAATGGGAAAACAATTACACTGCCTGATTTATGAATCAACCTACAACTTGCTGTTGTGCTATTATTGCACAACACCATGGTTTTGTATTTATTTGATACAGTTGTAAAGCAACATACATAGCTCTGAGAACAATTACTAACTGAAATGACACATAATGTTTTTAGTATGCAGGATCATGTCTTGTGCCAGCTTGTTTATGCAATGCTGCTCTGAATTTCTTGAGTCGAGGCTTCTCGTTCTGCTCCATGCTTCCCTATGAACTTGAGATATGCATCTCTGATTGCATGCATCTCCGCTGTTGCATCACTTGTCAGTGGTCGGTCACGAGGTTGTTGCTTTGAGCAGGATATGCCAAGGCTCAAGACTGAAACCAATAACTCCTGAATTCTAATACTTGTAGTGTTATTGTGTTGTCCGCTGTGCAACCACATTGTCGGGTCAGCTATCTCCAAGGTTCTATCCGGAAGAGCGTCCTCGACAAACTTATGCAGACCCAATGAATCTCCGAACGTGCCTTCTATTGGGCTTCTTCCCGTAAACATCTCAAGCAGCAATATGCCAAGGCTATAAATATCACCAGCTGTAGAGGCTGCAGAGCCTTCTCCATACTCTGCAATTATGCAAAGTCTTGTGGTTAGCATGCCATACTCGAGTGAGAAGTAGTAACAAAATTACAAGTTTTAGTCACCTGGAGCTACATAGCCTATGGAACCTCTAATTCCAGTTGAGCCATATGAACTTTGCATCCCCTCACTTGTATTTTCTTGAAGGATTCTTGATATGCCAAAGTCTCCAACTCGGGCGCTCATGTCTTCAGCAAGAAGAATGTTGCTTGGCTTAAGATCACAATGGATCACCAACGGTTGGCAGTAGTTGTGCAGATATTCTACTGCATCCACAATATCGATAGCAATATCGAACCTCTGGGCAAGGCTGAGCGTGTTGTTTGTAGTGGGATCTTGAGATGATTGATGAAGCCAGCTATCCAAGTTACCATTGGGCATGAATTCAAAAACCAATGCCTTGAACTCTTGACCTTGGTGGTTGATGCTCGAACAAGAAGTAATGATCTTAATGAGACAACGGTGTCGTATCCTTCTCATAGCCTCACATTCAGCCTCAAAACTCTTCGAATACCTAGATTGACCCAGGTTAAACACCTTGACAGCCAATGTTCTTTCTTCGTTGTCCAAAACACACTTATAAACCGCACCATAACTTCCTCTCCCAAGCAAGTTGGCTTCTGAAAATTCGTTAGTTCCTTTCAGTAATGCAGGATAGGGGATTCTTCTGTAATGGCCATCAACAATTGAATCTTTTGCTACTGTCTTCTGGCTTGATTTGAGCTTCTTACAAAATCTCCAAACAAGAACAATCACCGAAAGTGAGAACACGATTGCTCCAACTGCTGCTAGAGAAATTACAGGGGACTTTGGCATCTTTTTCCTCTTCTTGCTTAAGACCCTTGTGGGGCATGGAGCCAAATGAAGTTGAGGTGCACCACCACACAAATTGACATTCCCAACAACCGCTAAGTGAGTGATGTTTCTGAAAACACCTTCATTTGGCACCTCGCCTTGCAAATTATTGTAGGATATATCCAATTCAGACAATGATGACAAATTCTTTAGAACTAATGGGATTGATCCTGACAAGTTGTTGTGTGCTACGTACAGCTCTTGCAGGTTTCCAATATTGCCAAGGGCATCAGGAATATTACCAGAGAACTTATTCATGGTCAGGTTCAATATAGTGAGCCCCTTTATATTTGTCAGTGACTGAGGTATGTTTCCCTCAAAGGAATTGTTGTCTAAGAATAGTTGTTCCAATACCATGCAATTCTGTATACTGTCGGGTATCTTGCCAGACAACTGGTTTCCTGATAGAACTAGTAGGTTAAGGTTTGCCAAGCTACCAACTTCATTAGGAAGGGGTCCGGAAAGGGAATTGTATGACAAGTCCAAATACCAAGAAAGGCTGGGTAATCTGAAAATTTCTTTGGGTATTGAACCATTGAGACGGTAATTCATTTTTAGATCAAGTACAAAGAGGTTTTTCAACTTCCCCAGGCTTGCCGGAATTGGTCCCTCCAAGTTGCTGTTACGTGCATAAAGCTTATTCAGTTGTGAAAGGTTTCCTAGCGATGGCGGTATGAGCCCAGACAAGCTATTGTTGTACAAAGCTAGATCGATCAAGTTCTCTAGCTTACCAATGCTCTTTGGAATCACTCCGGACATGGACGTGTTAGCTATCACAAGTGTTTGTAGACCAACCAAATTGCCTATATCTGCAGGGATACTCCCAGAGATCCTATTGTCACCTAAGTACAAGTATTGGAGAGTCGTTGACAGGTTCACAATTGAACCTGGTAGTTGTCCTTCAAAAGAATTGACGCCGAGCCCCAATAGCTGCAGTTGGCTGCAGTTTGCCAAAGACGCGATGAATTCCCACCCCTTGTTGTCATTCGCTTCAAGCTTATTGTTATTCAAGTTCAAGTATTGAAGTGCTCCCAGCTTCCCAAATGTGGGAGGAAAGTACCCACTAAATCTGTTGCTATCAAAGCCAACCGATATGAGGGACGATATGTTGGATATTGAGGACGGGATTGTTCCAGTGAAGTGATTACCAGGCAAGCCAAGATATTCCAACTTGGGGAACTTGTTTCCGAAATCATCCAGAATGCCATACAACATATTTGTCCCTACATCAAATAGTTCTAGCGACGACCAATTGTAGAGAGAAGTTGGAATCGTACCATTGATGAGGTTTCTGGCGATACTGAACTGTTGCATGCCGCGGATGCTTCCGAGCCCTGGTGGGATTGAGCCCACGAGCTGGTTGCGTGAGAGATCGAGGATTTCCAAACGGGACAGGTTGGCCAGTGATGGAGGGATGAGCCCTGTGAAGCTGTTGTTACTCAGTGATATCCTTACCAGGGACGTGAGCTTCTCGCCGAGCTCAGCCGGGATGCGCCCGCCAAGCCTGTTGTTTAGCAGTCCCATTATGGCCATGCTGACACATGAGCTCAGGTTCACTGGTAATGTGCCAGAGAAGGAGTTGTCGCCCAAGTCGAGCCTATGCAGGCGGCGGAGGCGGCCAAGGCTCGCTGGTATCTCCCCGTGGAACCAGTTGAAGCTCAGGTTGAGCGTCCGCAGGAACGTGAGGTTCCCGATGGCCGGGGAGAGTTCTCCGGCGAGCGCCTTGTTGTTCAATCTCAGCGCCACCACCCGCGCTGGCCTTCGGTGGCTGCATGTCACACCTTCCCAGCTGCAGAAGCTGGCGCTGCTATTCCAGGAGGCCAGCGAGCCGCCATCGCTGACCTGCGCTTTGAAAGCAAGCAACGCAGCCTCGTCGCTACCGGCCACGATCGCAGTCGCAGTAGTCAGGACGGCCAGGAATGCGCATAGCAAACTCATGACCCCCATTGCCATTGCTTGGTTGGGTTGGCAAGTAGTAGTAGCAGCTCCGCATATATGGATAACAGTATATGCTTCTTGTGTTTGCGTGATCGTCTTGTGCATGTTGCTAGTGTTGTGCTAATATTCCAACAATGTACAAATCCCTCTTGTGGGCGGTCAGACCTGGACAAGTTGCAGGATGTTTACTTTGACGGGACTACAAGATTTTCCATGTGTTCACGTGACAAGTTGTTCTCAAACTATTAGTGGGCAAATAATGCATCCACACCTGCCTACTTGAATTTTATTGTTCTAAAAAACCGCTTTCTTCTAAGCGAATTAAGAATGAGATAGATATTGCAGGTATATTGCACATACTACATAGCTCCATCTTCACATTTCAGTTTGATGTTTGTATATGGAATATATATTCACAGGAAATCAACAGTGTTCACATCTTGGGTGAAAGATTAGCAGCTCCGTTTCTCATCTGTTTACTGCAATTTGCTGAATGTTTCTAATGCACGTACATGCCATCTTAGCAGCTGCGGGTTTTGACGCGATATTGGCCTGCTAATCTTGCCTGGTCTAACAATAACTAGCAAACCCCGCGCGGCGGCACGCCGCGCCTCTCGATACTGTGTGTTCATATGAATTGGGTTTACTATTTACAGTAAGTCTTATTAGCTCATGCTGATAAAACCTTGTACTGTGTAGAAATGTGGAAGCAGGAAGACATCATTTTTATGTTCGGACATACTGCATGTGGTAAGGTATGATCAATGAACCATTCTCAGGTGAACCAAAGTACTCAGAAGCCAAACACTGCAGGCTTCAGAAATTAACTTGTAAACATATTTAAGTGGAAGACAACATGCCATATTTCGCTGGAGCACCAGTTTTAGTATCATCCTCCCCACCAGTAGCTAAAGCAAGAAATACCACAGAAGTAGCTTTGCTTTTAGGATTTGAATCATCTTTTGAAATGTTGACATAACCATTACTTCTCCTGCAAAATCACTTTCTAGAATACACAAAGCAAACTCTACTATCCCGAGGTGTAGTCCCATCATTATGAACTCCAGCAGCCCGATCTGCAAGTGCTATAGCATCATTAGGTCCCAATTCTACCTGGTCGGCACCGAATGAGTTTAATAACAGAGGAACAACATTTGAGCTCATCTTTTTCTCTATCAGCCAAGGTATTCCAACTTCCAAATTTTCCCATGTCTGGACATCATTAAACAAAGTTGGAAATGTTGTCACTTTTGAATTAGATAAAATAACCTCTATCTGTTGTTCCCGCCTGCCCTTCATGAGGGAATAAAACTAACTAAAAGCATCAGCCATATACTGATATACACATAAAACTATACTGATATAAGCAGACGGCGGCACCACGAGGCAGCACGAAGGGCTACCCTCGGGTCGGCAGCATGCGACGGTGTTCCTCGGCCCGGAGGGCACTACGCTGGGAGGTTGACCCCACGCAGAGCGCACCTGCAGGATCACGGCCGCGGTCAGCCACGCCGGAGGGCGTCGTTGTGCTGTGCATCGTGTGCTGGAGGGTGCTCACCGGATGGCCTCGCATGGCGTCACACTGCCACACCACCGGGATCTTGGTTGAGACTTGAGAGCCGCCAGCCACGCTGGGTGCTGCTCTTCGAGATGGGCCTTTCTTTGAGAACGAGTAGCGTGGGGCGCTTTTGTGCACGTGGTTCCATACGGAAACTGCACCGACGCGTCCTACCCGGTGTGCCGGAATTGCAGGTCGAGGCCGCCGGAGCGGGTCTCTACGCCGTAGCCCAGAAGATATCCTCAGCCTTTGGGTTGCTGCAGGTGGCTCACACCGAGGGTGCTCGCGAGAGAGGATGGGGAGAGCAGAAGAACCTGATTGGGCCAACCGCTGGGTGTCGTCGCCGTTGTGAAGTTGTCGCCACGCCATATGGGCTCGATCCAGCCGCCACGTCATGGTTGGAGTGCCTGGCTGGAAGAAGGGGGCATGGCGAACATTTTATTTTTTGAGACAAGGGCGCAGCGAACGTATGAAGCTGCGGCGACGGAAGAGAGAAGGAGGGGCAGGCACCCGAATAGATATAAGAGCCTTTTATAAGCCCGTACAACGGTGGCTTGGCCACAGGCCGCATAAGCGGTGGACGGTGCAGGCCACGGGATTTCACTCGAGCCTTCGGAGAGACGATAGAGATACACCAACCGATGACACGTACACAGTCCATGCAGATCAAGTTCTGCTAATCCAACGACAGAGGAGCATCACACCCGCATGCAAATCTAGTCTAGACAGGACCACCGCATGCAAGAAACAAACAAAACAGGACCTACGTAGTCAAATTGAGCCGATGCAGCGCACATGGCCGAGGTAGCTACAATCAGAATGTCCCCAGTCTCCCCCAAAATAGCTAGGTCCACACGCAAATATGTGTAGCAGTTCAAAAAATTTGGAATGAAACTCTGAATCCACAATGCATTTGTACACAGCCAGGTACCAAAAAAATAGCACGTGCCATGTCCAAATTTCACCATGGGTCACTTTCATCCAAGTGGATGAATCTCAAGGCGAAAACTTTGCCTGGAATAGAGGCTTAGGTATTAAGGCCCATTGTAAGGGCATTGTGTGACTTGCGACGCCGAAAATCGTGATGTGTGAATGCGTGACTTGTGGAAGCATGTTTGTCACCAATAAGAGATGTGTGTGCACGCATGTCCAGCCAAGTAAACGAGCCACAGAATTCTCCACCAGTTGATCATCAGTCGTTGATCATCAGCATGTGTGAATGTGTGACTTGTGCCATCGTTGATCATCAGTCGAGCCGTTCAATTCCCGTTCTCATACTAGTTTGAACTTTATTTGGATCGTCTCCGAAGCAACATGCAAGTCATACGCGTATGCACAACTTATCACGAGTGTCTTTGTTTCTATTGACTAGCTTTATAGCTGCCGCATTATTATCGATGCAAAGTAGAGTAGCAAATTTGCCTGGCCATGATGATCAAGCATGTCCTTTCTAATTTTTTTAAATTGTTTGGGATGCCTTGGCAAACAATTGAGTGGTCATACCCCCAAGTTGCAACTGGCCCTATGTAATCCTAATATCCTATAGATAGGTCCATGTGAACACGCTGCTTGATCCCATACACACCTCTTCACCAGAAATACGTACGCATCTACTACATCATGAATATTTTAAGGAACAAAAAATGGCGTTTCGATTTTGCATGTACAGTCCCCAATGATACTTTTTGGCCTCAAGTTTATATGGCTAACTAAATATAAATTTTGTAGCATGAATCCATTCTAATGGTAAAAATTCGATAGTGTTTTACTATTAATTATTGGCCGAATGTATTTTTTATATGATTATATGCGATCTGGGCTGAATGCAGCTATGCAGCATTGGCTTAGGAATACAGTGTCTTGGAAGATGCTACCAGTGAAGAGACATATACTCCCTCCGTCTGAAAATACTTGTCATCGAAATGAATAAAAAAGGATATATCTAGAACTAATATACATATAGATACATTCCCTTTTATTCATTTTGATGACAAGTATTTCTAGATGGAGGGAGTATAATTTTGGGTTTTTCTTGTTTGACAAGTAGTAGCGTGCATATAATTATCCGAAAGTGCAACTGAGAGTGACATTGTAAAAATGAACAAATTGGC